CCCCAAAACCCCAAAACCCCAAAACCCCTGTTGTTAAGAAAATTATTGAAAATTAATAATAAAATGGAAAAATTAGATATCGACATAGAAGAACTAATTGAAGAAAAACAATTATTTCCTATACTTCTTAATTTTTCTTCCAAAACATTAAAAATTGATAAAAGTGGTAAGTCTCTTCTACATAAGCTTGAAAATATCTTTGAATAAATTATGAATTTTTACAATTGTCTCTTACCAGATACATGTCAGTAGTTAAATTATAGATAATGAAGATAAAAAATTCACAGTATCTTACATTGAGCTTAATGACAAAGAAACAAAATACCAAATCTCAGACTCCTTAGAAATAATCGGGCTCTATCTTATCTATTCTCTTTGTCATAGAAATAAAACTTCGCAAGCAAATCTGCTTTGCCAACTTATCGGATTCCAAGAAGAAGACAAAGAAGACTTTTATCTCAACGAATCATGCATTCTTGAGCATACCAACAAATTTTTCGATCAAGAAGATAGACTGCTATCCTTCGTCCTCACCCACCCATTCACAGTCACTGAACAAATGTATTCCAATTACAACTATCATGGCTATATGTCAGCATACTATCCTCCAATGAGTACTTCCAAAACTATCAGGCATACTTACTACATAAAAGTCTGTGAGAATGGTTCCCCGACGACACTCAAAATCTATGTTCTTTGTAAGTTTCAGTATCATATTAAGGCAAAGAGACAAATCATCTTGAATCAACAGATCTCAAGCTGTCTGATAATTTTGAGATTTTACCTGAGTATAAAGATCAATTTTCCGGAGTAGAATCTATCATCCAACATATTGAAGAAATAGTAAGAACTAAACATAATAGAGAAAACAACCAGTCATGGGGAGGAGGTGCTTATCCCTATAATCCTTATTGCTACTCTTGTCATGGAACTGGAGTATGTCAAAATTGCAATAATAGTAAGAAACGGATGTATTATCTCTAGCTTTTCCATTCAACCCCCACATGTCATGTAAGCCACTCCTAAATCCCCTCTACAGACTCAGCCTCAAACAATCCTTCTTCCTATCCCGCAAACCTCCCACCCCCTCCTCAATACCAAAGTAAATCCCCTTCTATTCTCCCTCCCACCACTCCAAACATTTCCCTTAAAACTCCTCAAAATCCCCAAATCCCCCTCCTCCATTAAAAATTTGTTCCATCTCCAGTCAGCCAAAGTCAGTACAAAAAATTTTAAATTTAGAATAAACTGGTTTATTGGGCTAGAATGAGATTTGGAAGAATAGTACACATTCTCCCCCTCATTATCAATCACTAACTTCCAAAATAGCTCCTCCACCCAACCAAATACCCCAAAACCCCCCTCTTCAAACTCCCCCTCCCCAAATTCCCTACTCACCACCCCTCCAGACATCTCAACAGTCACCCCAAGAGACACCCCTTCCAACCCCCACTCAACTCCCCACCCAGTCACCTCCTCGGTCTCACCTAACAGACCTCCTCCAGTAATCCCCTCTTGCTTATACTTCAACCACGACTCTTCCTCCAGGGGTTTTGGGGTTTTGGGGTTTTGGGGTTTTGGGGTTTTGGGG